GAATCCCTTGCGTTTGTGTTAGTGGTCCTCTTCTTCAGTTTGTTTGCATGTTATGTGCACTTTGCTAACAACAGAGAGAGTTTACCCCAACCAACCACTTAAAATTTCGAGGAATTATCGAACCAATAAAAATCCTAACAAAGGATTTTTGCTTCATCTTATTATTCATCATCAGGATTATCGTCATCACCATCAACTTCTGCATTTTGATGTTCAAGTTTTTCCAGTTCCCTTGCAAAATCTGCTTCATCCATATCTGTGACAATCTTTGGCTGAACAGATAACAATGATAATCAATGATAGAAATTTATAGCTTAAATTTATCATTTGAAATCAACAAATTTCTTGCATGAATGCAAAGGCATGGCAATAGGATTTACAACATTTCAACCTCTAATCTTGATTGGCATGTATCTGACATAATGAGAAGAACTGACAAAATAAACACAAAATAGATTGCTAAGCTCTTGGTCAGTAATGATCAAGGTTAAAAATCTGTGAGTAAAGTGAAGGTTTGAATCAACAATCGACTTGTAATGTGCCAATTTATCGCACACTAATCGACAGAGCATACAAACTTAACAATACAAACAATGGCTTTTAACGAGACATAACAAAACATCACATCCACTCTTTGAAACTCTTTCCACTACACTTTATTAACAGAACTGTAAGCGATATCGACAACAAACAAAGCAACAACCTCAACCTAGACACGAAACTCCTGACAGGACGATCACAACCAACACAAATGAAAATTCCAAAATAACAACTCTATACTTCAAACTACCATACATGGGACATTACTCGACACATGAACTTACAAACATTATGAAACACTTCTGTACAGATATTGACATTCGACTAATTTTCACATCATTCAAAATCAAAACCTTTCTCATTCAAAGACCCAATCCCTGATTCAATTAAATCAATGGTGGTATATGAATTCAATTGCTGGGGATGTAATTCGATACATTAAGCGAAACTTTGCGCCATTTATCCACCAGAATCAAGGAACATACCACAACAGACAAAAACTCTCATATCTACCGACACCTTCTTAAATTTCACTCATGTAAAACCAACTATTCACCCTCTTGCTTCAAAATCATCGACATTGCCGACACCTCATTCACCCTTAAAATCAAAGAAGCATTCCACATTAACAAAACTAACCCTGACCTCAATGTTCAAGTTTTTAAATTCAATACAATACTTAGTTTATAATACGCTCGGACGCTCCTCATTAATTTATCTTATTTCCTTATTATTGTTGTAATTTATGTATCATATTACTTTTATATAAACCTTGTATCATTTATTATTTCGTTTATACTGAAGATGGCATCATGAGATGTCAAAACATGTCTATTTTAAAAAACTCGTCTTGTATATTAAATGCGCATTAGCAATAGTGCTTCTATAAAATTATGAATACAAAATTTTTTAAATTTGTTTGGCTTTTGAATTTTTACACCCATTACTTCATGTCATTTTCTTGTTTCAATTCTCGCTGATAAATATTGTCAATGTTAGCAGGGTCATGATAATGTCACATTTTTAATACAGCATGGGGTACTTAGGGAAGTGGTAACAGGATGATATGAGGATAGTAGAGGCAACAGGAGAATGTCATTTTAGTGATACAATATACTTTTCATAGAAATATAAACCAAACACTTACAGCTTGTTGTAAAACATATGTTCCTTTCTTATTCATAATGACTTCTTCAATTGCTTTGATAGATGTTTCCAAAGCTTTCAAACCTTCTTCTTGATTCATTGTTGTTGTCATGACAACATAGGTTGGTGGTGAAATGGGATTTATCTTAAAGAAGAAAACAGTTTACAATCAAACAATGAAATTTTCAAAAGATTTTTTATCATTGTATGGTATTTAGGCCTGGCGCAGGTATTGTAAGATATAATTACATTGCTATGCACATTTGGAACATCTATAAATAATTAAATCTTGTTTTCGTGAACATCAAAATGTTCATCCTCATTGTGTTTATGTAGCAATATTGCAATTTGATGCATTTCAATGAGAATGATCTGTCATTTACAGTGGTGTAAAACAAAGCTTCATGCTTCTCTTGGTTCTTAAGGTTCATTTTCCTTGACAACTCATTTATTGACAGTTGTCTTGTTGTATACAATGTTCAGTAGTATATATAATCATTCTACAATTGAAATCTTGACATAAACATATTTAAAAGTTAAAATGACATGATGAATATGAGGTATAGCTCTATTGGTTAAGAACAGTTCATGTACGACGTCAGATGATGTTAATGTTGATTCATAATGGTTTCAAAAAAGCTTGGCTGACTGATAATTATGTTAATAAACACATAACCCTGGCTGTCACATGCTACAATCGTAAACAAAATCTCAGCAAACTTTTGCCATAAATATAAAGCAGTTTTAAAATTCAAAAGGAGTAAAGATCTTTTTATAAAGTCTAACGATGATCAATGATTACAGTACAATAGAACTTACCTAAATGAAGTCATAATATTAAATGTCGCTCGATTTTGAAATAGAAATACAAACAATTCGTTATGTTGATGATGGCACAAAATATGTACAAAGATATAACGTAGATTGTTCAATTAACGTAACTCAAACGGTAATACTTTAAATACAGACGAACAAGTTTACAGTTTTGAGTTTACATGACTGACTTTACCGACAGTCGGAAACATCCGGTGGAAACTATCGGTATTCGCCGATTATTATCCGGTGGAAACTATCGGTGGAAACTATCGGTATTCGCCGATTATTATCCGGTGGAAACTATCGGTGGAAACTATCGGTATTCGCCGATTATTATCCGGTGGAAACTATCGGTGGAAACTATCGGTATTCGCCGATTATTATCGGTGGAAACTATCGGTGGAAACTATCATTATGATTATTATCCGGTGGAAACTATCGGTGAAACTATCGGTATTCGCCGATTATTATCCGGTGGAAACTATCGGTGGAAACTATCGGTATTCGCCGATTATTATCCGGTGGAAACTATCGGTGGAAACTATCGGTATTCGCCGACGTAATCAGTTTTCCGACCTAAGGACCTGGAAAAATTTGGATTACATATTTTATGTAAATGAGGGCATGTAAGAGGGCAAATAAGAGGGCATATAGGAGGGCATATAATGAGGGCATATAAAAATTTGCTTTTTCACAAATAAAAAATACGACATTGAAAAGTACATTTGTTCTAATTAGTTAATATTTCAATTATCATTATGCACACGGCGCACTTGTACAAATTATAGATATTTATAGTTCATCAGGAATTGAAGGAAGATTTAAATCATACAATTCAATAAGAAGTTCCAATATAAAAGTACGAGTAAAAATATTAAATATTCAGTCTGACTTTCTGCTCCAGATTCCATCTCTTGATCCTCGGCAACACTCTCTGGAACGTTTTGTGAACGGGAATTATTTTTTTCGTCTTGATGTACTTTCTTCAAGCTCTCGCGATTTTCCTCTCGTCCGTATTTGATTAAAGTTAGCTCTGAATTTTTTCACCGTTTTTTCGCTCTTTTCCTTACTTTGTTATAAAATCAGTTGACCAACTTTAACCAACACTGCCACAGCTACATGACACACCAGTGCAATGTAAGAACCACGATGAACAGACATTCAACAATGTTTGTCGCGGACGCAAAACGCAGCATGGTTATCTACACACTTCTTTACATAATACAAACAATAATGTCGTTAAGTGGTGCCATGGAAAGAAAAATTTAAAATCTTTTCGTACAATACTAAGAAAATGCCCGCAGCTCATTTCCCTTAGAGATAACTTGCAATGTATATTTTAATTGGATTACATGCTGGTTTTGGTGTATGTCAACGAAGATGTTCGAGTTAAATCGAAGTGATGAAATACACGATTGAAAATGCGTTCTCGTATAATTCAGAGAACAATTATCACTTTTATACCCTTGAGTGAAAGCAATATAATAAAACGAATTACGCGAAGACAGCAACGCATTTACCCCTGAATGCAGTAGAGTAAATGCTCTTGATGAACTCTAAATATTTTTCTGGTTTTATTGATAAGCGTACGTAAACAAAACACGATAATTTGACAGTTTAGCTGGCGACCAGTTCATGCCATTGCAGACGCAGTTCCTGTTCACAGCCTGTCTCTCTTAGGAAACAGCGTCTTGTTTGGAGATAAATTCAACATTTTTGGCAAAGTTATCCAAATAATGTTCAGTTCCCTTACTTGCATCCAAATTTGGTGGCTGATATAGCCACTCAATAAAAATATGCCATGCGATCCATGAAAAATTACATTTTATTACAAATGAAATGACAGCCCTACTCCGTCTAGTTTCATAAAAGAAATAACATACATAATATATCCAAAATTTTAACTTGATTAAATTGATGCTCACCATCGAAAGCAACAATCTCAAGTCGGTAATAAACTGAATGATGTGAAGTTTTGAATTACTCGTTTGTAGATGTTGATTTTTAGGTTAATGCAAATCCTGTGAAGAGCCGTTAAGATTACGTGAATTTGAAGTTTCGAAAAGTCAGTCAATACCAACACCAATTATAAATTGATCCCTCAATATAAATATTACAGTCCAACTTATAACTTATATGTTGTAGTGTAATATTTATATTGAGAATCCCGCATGGCAACAATATTGATGAATCTACAACTCTTTATTTCTCTGTCAACCTTGAAAATTACTATAATTCTATTGCTCAAACCGAAAGGAATACTCTATTTTTTAATTAGCTTTGTTCTTTCGTGTGCGTTTTTCCTATTTATCAGTGGTAACACTTTATAGCGTGTCTTTGTCCAACGTCAAGCTGTGTTTAGCTGTTTGACTAAAGAATCGGAAGCGACGGAGCTTATAAGCTCTTAGATTGCACTTGTCGACCTCTAGTATTTCAAACATGCAAATGTTCGGCGTTTTGCCAGTGGCTCAGTGGTTTATACATTATAACGCATGAAATGACAGCACGAAAAAATTAGCATTCAATAAATATTAATAATTACATTAATAAAATAAATATTATTAAGAAAGAGCTTTAGAAAAACGTACAGATTATTTTAAATTGTTCATTAGTACATAAGATTACAGTATGCCTTTCTTCCATTGATTATTGAATGGTTAAAACAAAATATTTTCTTGAGTTCTTACGTTTTACACAAACCTATTTATCATATAATATGTACATGATTTATTTCTCTTAGTATAAATCATTTTACGTTGAAGTTAACAAATCTTTAAAGTTTTTCCAAAGTTGATGGAACATTTAACACAAAATCCTCGTTCAGCATTTCCATCGCACATCTATCTTCTCTTGTAAAGTCTAGCAGGTCAAACAAAAATTCTTCAGGAAAAGTCTCTTGAATGGGTAAATTTAGAATTGGTTGAGTATTTTCACCATCTTCCATACTTTCATTTTCTAATGTATTGTCGTATCTTTCGTTGCCATCTTCTAGCCCATTCTCTTTTCCAACACAGGATTTTTCACCTTTGTCGTTCATCTTTTTGTAAATGACGATCTAAAGATAATTAGAATGGGGAAAAGGCATAACCTGGACTATTCTACAAAATAGCCAACTTATTTCGAATTTCAAATTTCACCACTCTCAGACAGTGAAACTATACATTTCTAGAGAAATTAACAAAGGTAATGTTCTGAAATGTGCAAAGTATATCTTTGCGTCTGGAATTCATAAGTATTTTGTCTTTAAATCACGTGACCATTTTCTTTCTACATGATGTCCTACAAAAGTTATGTTAAATCATAAATACTTCACGACGTGGTGGCGTCCTAGGCCCAGTCCCTCGCGACAAATTGACGTTGCGAAAATTTTAGGACGTCCTCAGGATTGCCCTGGCATGTTGAAAGTTATATAGGCCTATACATTTTAGACGAAACGTCGTGTTTGCTAAATCACTCTATTAGCTTAAGCTACGTATGGTTCGGATCGTAAGAATAGCAAAATATTTTATTACCTAGTGTAAAATAAAATAAATAAGTCATATCTACCTTTTTTTTTAAAGCCAAGTTAGCCACGTAAAGAAATATACAAAAATCAAATCAACTAGTCAAGTCTCCAGTTTTACACGTTTTATACGCTTTTCGCTTTAGAGGGCAACTTTTTGTGATGTGATCCTCTCCTCTATCTAGGCTGTCACTGCTTCTTGACACTTCCCTGTAGGGTTTCTTATTAAAACCTAATTCCACCAATAAGATTAAAGATAATACATCATAAAAGGTATGAAACAAGCAGACAAAGCATGGCAGACAAAATTAATGAACATCCATACATTATGCATAAGGTCAAAATTCAGCAATTTAAAAAGTTATATGATGTTGAACTGTATAGAACATATCGTCAGAAAAGCCTAAACTAGCTTGTACTGTCCATTAGAAATCCAAACCCTGCAATTTTGTACAAATTCACTAACAACCCTAAAATGCAATAAGTATAAACCTAAACTACTCTTTGAAAGTCGAAAAAAACCCGCAATTTTGTACAAATTCAGTAAGTATACTAATAATAAAACCAAAACCTATCTCGTAGCTTTAGCTAAATAAAGACTAACAAAATTTAGCTCGAGTAAAAGTATGCGTTCTCTTGTAAACAAAGTACCTGTTCTTGAGAAACCACAAATAGGAAAAATAGGAATGAAAAATTGCTTTTATTCCTTGAGTAACTCATACACTTGTGGTCTTGTGCAAACTAACAAGGTTATTCCTTGAGTAACTCATACACTTGTGGTCTTGTGCAAACTAACAAGGTTATTCCTTGAGTAACTCATACACTTGTGGTCTTGTGCAAACTAAGAAGGTTATTCCTTGAGTAACTCATACACTTGTGGTCTTGTGCAAACTAACAAGGTTATTCCTTGAGTAACTCATACACTTGTGGTCTTGTGCGAACTAACAAGGTTATTCCTTGAGTAACTCATACACTTGTGGTCTTGTGCAAACTAACAAGGTTATTTCTTGAGTAACTCATACACTTGTGGTCTTGTGCAAACTAACAAGGTTATTCCTTGAGTAACTCATACACTTGTGGTCTTGTGCAAACTAACAAGGTTATTCCTTGAGTAACTCATACACTTGTGGTCTTGTGCAAACTAACAGGTTATTCCTTGAGTAACTCATACACTTGTGGTCTTGTGCAAACTAACAAGGTTATTCCTTGAGTAACTCATACACTTGTGGTCTTGTGCAAACTAACAAGGTTATTCCTTGAGTAACTCATACACTTGTGGTCTTGTGCAAACTAACAAGGTTATTCCTTGAGTAACTCATACACTTGTAGTCTTGTGCAAACTAACAAGGTTATTCCTTGAGTAACTCATACACTTGTGGTCTTGTGCAAACTAACAAGGTTATTCCTTGAGTAACTCATACACTTGTAGTCTTGTGCAAACTAACAAGGTTATTCCTTGAGTAACTCATACACTTGTGGTCTTGTGCAAACTAACAAGGTTATTCCTTGAGTAACTCATACACTTGTGGTCTTGTGCAAACTAACAAGGTTATTCCTTGAGTAACTCATACACTTGTGGTCTTGTGCAAACTAACAAGGTATCAAGTATGTGAAGTATATGTGGGAGTCAATAATTATATGATGGGAGACACAATTCAGTAGAAAACAGCCAAAAGCGCGCATGATCTATTGTCTAGTGGTGTAAGTGGTCACGGTCAGGTGGTATCGTATAAAATATTCCATCGTATTATATTTTGCATGTGTTTATGCATGGACAACAATGCAAAGACTATATTCTGCTGTTTCTTGCCGCCTTTCAAAGTCAGTTGAGACAACTAAAGACACAACTTGTTTTCAGAAATCAAGTATGGACGTTCAGGAGTATTCGGCCTCTAAAAGTTTAGAAAAGACTGCTTTATTTTAGCAGGAATATCGTCGTTAAACTAAAAGGTGACGTTGTTCAACATCCAGCGGCGTCAAGTCGAAGTACAAACTGAAAGATTGTATCGACTTGGATTTTACGAGATGGTTAGTAAAACTTAGTATTATTGCAAAATCTGTCATCAGTCACTAACGAAAAGCTGACAGGCAAGCTCATTGAAAATAACTGCACTGTGTCTCACAAATTTCTCCCAACGTCGATATATATTATACAACTCAATGGGCTGCACTCATCTGGCTGGAAACATGGCCGCCGTTTAAAATACCCGGATTGTAGAACTCAAAACAGGGGAAACGAACATTAAAGGTTCCGACATCGAGTGGCGCTTGTGTTACGTATCTATTCTGTGACTGAGGCCCTTATATAAAATGAATGCATTTCCCAGTGAGTCATTTATATGACACATCCGAGTAACTCGCCTAGCCGGGAACTCGGTTTGTGCAAGCGAGTTACCCGGCTAGGCGGGATGAATTTTTCCATATAAACGCATTTGCCGGGTAACTCGGCGAGGCGAGAAAATTGGCTCTGTTGGTACGCATGCGTACTAAGCCTTGTACTTGCAGCATTATTATTCAAAACATACACATATCATAATTTTCAATTTTATATTCACCCATTCCATTTTTGCTGTAAAACTGTGAGGCTTTTTAAAATCTCGCACCTTTACTCGAAGTTAGCATAGTCAAACTTCATTTAAGACAAATGAACGGAAGTACTAGCCGAGTTACCCGGTGCCATATAAACAGATCTCTTTGCCAAACCCGGTTGAGCGAGTAACTCGCTCAGCCGGGTAACTCGGCTCCATATAAACAGGCCCTTAGTGACTGAATTGTAGATAGAGTTTGCTATACGGTCACGTGATATTTTGATATTCTGCGAATGCACACGAGACTAACCCAGTCTATGCTCCCAAATAAGTTACATTGCACGCGAGCACGTACTAACGAGTAAAAGAAATTGAAAGTCTTTAAAAGTTTTCTTAAAATGATTGTAATAGGAAAGATCATGAAAGATTTAAAACATTTTAACCCGTTACTGCATGAATTTCCAACTCGGCGTTTTTATAGCGGCAAAACTCCACGGGTTTGATAAATTCAATACTTAACACCTGAATTGGAATGTTTACAATTAAAGAAATTCTTAACATTTCGTATTCTGTGACGAAATTGCAAAATTTTAATAATTACATGCAAAATTTCTATTGATGCGAAAACTCCCGGGAAATTTGCAGGTATTTTTAGAAAATTCCACAAATGGCGGCGCGTTTCGGCTTATCATTCGAATATATACGAAGTACGATCAAATATTCTGTCTTGGTATAATTCAAACTAAGTTAGTTAGCTATCAACCACTTTTCAAGATTTTTTAAGTCAGAGTTTACTGTCGTTTCTAGTTCAACTGTATCATTATTTGAAACAGTTAAGCAGTTATTTCGCGTTAGGTAGTTAGAAAATTATTTATTCGTAATTTGGCATTGTAAATTTATGCCGTACATATAACCCAAGTTTAACTTAATGACAAATAAACAAGAAATTTCAAACATTCTGTATGATACACCATGTACAATAATAATAAACTTAAATTATTAGTGAGATGATTTAACGATGGTGGAGCAAAACATGAAAGTTATAAACGACCCTGAAATTAGTAAATGTAAATCGTAACTCTTACACCAACCTCTTTTACTGAAGCCAAGTTAACCACGAAGGTAAAAATGTACAAATCAAGTTTAAAGTCTTGTTTGCACGCTTTGAAAATTGAGATAGGTCTGAGACAATAAAAATCACCTCTGTGTTAGTCGTTCGTCGTCTTCATTCGTTTGCATGTTACGTTGAATGTAACGTTGAATACAAATTTTCCAGCGCCAAAGTCCAAAAGTACAACCAAGTTTCTCCCAACCAATCAAAATCTCGAGGAATTATGAAACCAATGAAAATCCTAACAAGGAGTCGAACGGATGTTGTCATACTTTCATTTACATCTTGACTTTGGTGAAGAAAACATCTCAAAGGAGGCTCAAATGTACGAAACGAAATACATATACGATACGATACATCATTGTTTCATAAAACTAGCCATATTTTCCTTTATGTTATTGTTTTCTACATTCGCAATGTTGACATAATCATAAAGTTTTTCTCGTTTTGTGAGCTTTTGTACTTTTTAATACAGTGAACGTCATGATACACTTCCGTGTTTGAAATATTCTCGATTTCATTTGATGATATATTAAGTTAGAAAGGAGTATTAGAATTTTTCAACGAACTTCACAGACTGTATAAGTTCTGATACACAACAAAGGTGAACGTCGAGATTAAGTTAAGATGAAATTTAAACTCAGCGTCAGACAATGGAAAGCCACAAACTATAGCAGGGGTCTCCAAACTACGGCCCGCGGGCCAGATGCGGCCCGTTGGGCCTCTCAATCCGGCCCGCAGAGACACTTAAGAAAAAATAATATTATTAAACAAAATAAACTTTGTGCAGAAAGTTCACGTTATGACTCAAGTCAACTTGCAAGAGTGGCTTTTTTGTCCCAACGTCAATTTTTGTCCCAACGTCAATTTTTGTCCCAACTTCAACAAACAAATGACTTGCTGCATGACTGCTATCTATGTTTGGCACCACATACCTGTGTAAAGAAACTTTTTCTAGAATAACAGTTATAGAACAAACATGTCAGATGAAAATCTGAGGGCTCTTCTAATGCTTGGGACCTCAAACTTAAAGCTAGACTTTTTTACCATTTTTTTATCAAAAAGCTAATTTCACCAATCACATTGAGAAAACTGAACAGAATAATTGTGATTTTGTTATGATATTACTCTTGGTTGAAATTAAACCTTTAAAGTTTAAATTTTGAATAAATATTTCTTAACTAATGAAGCTTGTGTTATGTACTTCGTTTTATTAAAATATTCGCTCTTTGATCAGCGGTATACGGTTCGTCGGCCCCTGAAAGAAAGTTCATGTGGCCCTTTGGCTGTAAAGTTTGGAGACCCCTGAACTATAGCATCGACAGTCATAAATCATAAACAATTTTGATAAGATATTTTGAATCTTGGATCAATTATGATTAAAAAGTTCAAGGAAAGTTTTCGCCCGTAGGAAATTGTTAACAATATTTAATTTAATGATCTCCTTTCTAAATATGCTTTCATTTCAACGACTTGGCATTTACAATAGTTTCACGATGAAGAATGTCCTATTCATCCCAAACTACAAATTCAGAGCGTCAGTTTAACCCGAACAGGGGACCTTCAAAAACTGCCTCGCGAAATACTGACAATGAAATATCTATTTCGGATCGTCAAAAGAAAATAATTGATGTTTGTAATGTATAGGGTTTGAATGGAGTTTGAAGTTAGACAAATTGTTGTTCAAGGCAACCGCAGGTAGTGTATGATAAAAATAAAACACAGTAAGTTTTAAAACAAACCATAATCACTTTTACTTCATCTTGTTCTTCTTCATTGTCAGGATTATCGTCATCACCATCAACTTCTGCATTTTGACGTTCAAGTTTTTCCAGTTCCTTTGCAAAATCTACTTCATCCATATCTGTGACAACCTTTGGCTGAACAGATAACAATGATAATCAATGATAGAAATTTATAGCTTAAATTTATCATTTGAAACCAACAAATTTCTTGCATGAATGCAAAGTCATGGCAATAAGATTTACAAGTACATTTCAACCCCTAATCTTGATTGGCATGTATCTGACATAATGAGAAGAACTGACAAAATAAACACAAAAGTAGATTGCTAAGCTCTTGGTCAGTAATGATCAAAGTTAAAAATCTGTGGGTAAAGTGAAGGTTTGAATTTACAATCGACTTGTAATGTGCCTATTTATCGCACACTAATCGACAGAGCATACAAACTTAACAATACAAACAATGGCTTTTAAGGGGACATAAAAAAAAACATCACATCCACTCTTTTACGAAACTCTTTCCCACTACACATTATTAACAGAACCGTAAAACGATATCTCGACAACAAACAAAGCAACAACCTCAAACTAGACACCGAAACTCCTGACACGACGATCACGACCAACACAAATGAAAATTCCAAAATAACAACTCTATACTTCAAACTACCATACAACGGACATTACTCACGACACACACAACGCAGACTTACAAACATTATGAAACGCTTCTGTACAGATATTGACATTCGACTAATTTTCACATCATTCAAAATCAAAAACCTTTTCTCATTTAAAGACCCAATCCCTGATTCAATTAAATCTATGGTGGTATATGAATTCAATTGCGCGGGATGTAATTCCCGATACATTGGCGAAACTTCGCGCCATTTATCCACCAGAATCAAGGAACATACCACAACAGACAAAAACTCTCATATCTACCGACACCTTCTTAAATCTCACTCATGCAAAACCAACTATTCACCCTCTTGTTTCAAAATCATTGACACTGCTGACACCTCATTCACCCTTAAAATCAAAGAAGCACTCCACATTAACAAAACTAACCCTGACCTCAATGTTAAAGTTTTTAAATTCAATACAACATTTAGTTTATAATACGCTCGGACGCTCCTCATTAATTTATCTTATGTCCTTTTTATTGTTGTAATTTATGTATCATATTACTTTTATATAAACCCTGTATCACCTATTATTTCACTTATACTGAAGATGGCACCATGAGATGTCGAAACATGTCTATTTTAAAAAAAGTTGTCGTTTATATTAAATGTGTATTGGCAATAGTGCTTTTACGAATTTATACAATTCATACCATCGAAACTAATACTATCTTTCCGTTTATTCTTTGCCACAGGTTGTTGAACAACGTCAACTTCTCGTTAATCGTCCATATCATGTCTAAAGCAGTTTTTTCCGAGAGTTTTAGACATAGAAGACTCCCGAACCTCCGTATTCAAAAGCAATGGTGTCTTCAAGAGTCTTTATTGACTCGAAAAGGCGACAAAATACGGCATAACACCGACTTTAGCTTTGTTTATACAAAATGTCCAATGGACTCAAGTGATGTCCTTCTGACAATAGTTACACAGTCAGAGAAAGCAAACATGAGACAGACATTATGTAAATGGTGTGAACATGTGCTTTGTTATTTTATTTTGTTTTGGAGACGCATAACTTTTCTTCAATATGCAAAAAACATCCTTATGATATCACAATGCATAATTAGCTTTAGGAAAAACTAATTTTTGTGGACAGTTAACATAAATTATTGCCAATGTCACACGGTCCTAATATTATTGATTTCAATGCAATGGGATGGTGTCTTTGTAATTTTCAAATAAATGACTAATGATTGAATATGTCCATCTTAATACAGCATGGGGTACTTAGGGAAATGGTAACAGGATGATATGAGGACAGTAGAGACACCAGGGGGATGTCATTTTAGTGATACAATATACTTTTCATAGAAATATAAACAAAACACTTACAGCTTGTTGTAAAACAAATGTTCCTTTCTTGTTCATAATGACTTCTTCAATGGCTTTGGGGCAATTCCACGAATATGTCAACCTCAGGGTTGAAAAAATTTTTTCCAGATATGTTGAAAATAATGATGTTACAACTTCATATAATAATTGTGCCATTTGGTGCAGGACATTTTTTTCTGCTGGCTGCATGTCACATGACTGGAGGCCATTTTGAAAGTTAGTGGTCAGCCATGTGGTCAGTACCCCCAGATTGAAAAGAAGATTTAAAGACTTGTACTGCTGAAGGAAACTGCCAAAAAGTAAGTTTAAGTGCATTCTTAGTAAGAGCAAATCTTTGTTTTTTATTTTTTGGGAGAAAAATTGTACTTTGGTTTGATCACAAACTTTTGTTAGCCTATTTCATGCTACTCAGAGCTTTGTTACGTCAGTTACCAAGAAAGTGATAAAAGATGTGCTGTTTCTTTAGAAAAGCTCAAAGAAAAATGATACCCCCTGTGTTCTTAGCATATGGGGAGATGGGAAAGGCAACATGCACAGAACTTTATTTGAGCTTCATATTTAACAGTTTTTATGGTAACTGATGTAACAGTTATGGCATGTGACCTACAGTAACTGACGTAACATATCCAGGTAAATGATGGCACAGTCTAAAGTTTTTGATGTATTTTTATGTAGAAACCTGGATGCTCTGAATTGATACTGTATTGATAGTTTCATTATATTAACGTGGTTTGAATAAAAAAAATAATGAAATCTTTTTCATTGTTTGGCCTGACAAACTTATAATTTTTTCAACCTGTTTCTTGTTTGATTTCAGTTTCACTGATGTTGGATCTTTAATGATGAATTATGTGAATGTATCTTGAAGCTCAACCAAACTTTAGATAAATGCCTTATGTCAACAATTTTTCAATTCTTTTTTCAGAATGCCGAAGTCCGCAGCAGAGAAAATGAGAGACTACCGGGCTCGTATGAGTGATGCTAAACGTCAGCAGGTGAGGGAAACAAATAAAGAGCAACAAAGAACACGCAGAGCTCAATGGACTGAGAAAAGAAGAATTCAAGAAAATGAAAGGAGCAAGGAAAGAGTAAAAAAATCAAGACAAGCCAAGGCCTCCAACTTGAACAGCGGCAACCAGGACAGAGCCCTAGCAAATGACTACACTGCTTTTGGTAGCAGGCAATCTCTAGCAAAGGCAATAAAAAAGGCTGCCAGTTCTCTTCCAAGGAGCCCAAGGAAGAAAGCAGCAGTAGTCAAGAAACTGTCAGACACCTTTGTTAAACAAATTGAGAAGGGCAAACAACGCACACTTTCAGAAGTTGATAAGATCGTGGAAGAGTTTTTTCAAAGTGACACTGTTGCAAGGCAGCTTCCTGGGAGAAAGGACTTTGTAACTGTGAAGAAAGATGGACAAAAGTTCGTGTGCAGAAGAAGATCTTACTGTCAACTGTCATGGAGACATACCAGAAGTTCAAGGCTGAATATCCTGAAGTGAAAGTAGGCAAATCAAAGTTTGCCAGTCTTCGTCCACCACACGTTCTTCCTGTCTCTGAGAAGGATCATTCTGTGTGTTGTTGTTCCTACCACGAAAATTTTGAGATGCTGGTGGAGGGTCTCAAGCAAACAATTCCTGGACTTCCAAACCCTGAAGGGCTGATTCAGATGTCTGTTTGCAGTTCCCCCAAATTGAATTGCCACTTGGGTGAATGTGAATTGTGCAAAGACGTCACAAAGCGGAATCTTTTTCCAGACTGTGACCTCTCAAGCCCTTGTTGTTACATTCAATGGAAAGAAAACAAAAAAATCCAAGTTCAGAACACTCTAGAAGGAGCAAAAGCAGAGTTCTTTGGGCAACTTTGTACCATGAGGCGCCACTGTTTCATTTCAAAGATACAGCTGAGCCAAATCAAAGCTTTGAAGGAAAATCTGAAGAGAAAGGAAGCTATTCTGCACACTGACTTTTCAGAGAACTTCCAGATAAAGCAACAGGATGAAATAATGGCAGCACACTGGGTCTCAAACAGTGTCACCATTTATACAGCAGTGATGAATACAGAAAATGGTGCAACATCATTTGCTGTTATCAGTGATGCACTCCAACATGACAAATTCTCAGTAGCAGCATTCAACAGAGCCATCTTAGCTTCCGGACCAGCAGATATTGAAACCCTCCACATTTTTACAGATGGTGCTGGCAGTCAGTTCAAAAACAGGTTCACTCTATCCACCTTGACAGATCCAAAACTGATTTACAGCAAACTGAAAAATGTGGACTGGAGCTTTTTTGGTACAGCGCATGGGAAAGGGCCTGTGGATGGTGTAGGTGGGACAGTGAAAAGAGCAGTGTGGCGAAGAATGCTTCAGAGACAGGTACTAGTCAACACTGCCAGGGATTTTGCAAATGTTGCAGAGAGGGCATGTCCAAACATTAAAGTGATCTTCATTCCCAAGGAGGATGTTGAAGAAGTCGAAAAGGAATTTCAAGAGATTTGGGACAAGGATGAACCAAAAAACATTCCAAACATCAGAAATGCACATTTTTTTGGAAGACATTCAGTCAATGCGTTGGAAAAGTCTATCATAACTCCCTACTTTCAGGAGTTCCAGGAGAGCATTGTGTTTGAAAAGGTTGTGATCTTCAACAAGTCAACAGCCACAAACCATCAGTCAAGAGGCAGCAAGGCCAGCTCAGACACATTAGGAGTGGGACCTATTCAACCTGAACACTACTTCGCTGTGGACTACATTGATAGGTTCTACATTGGCCGAACAATTGCAATGACAAAACCTGGATTTTGGAGCATGAAATTCCTTCATCAGGCATCCCTTGCAGGAGAGGCACTTTTCAACTGGCCACGGCAGGATGACTTTGATGTTGTGCACAAGAGCTCAATTTTTTTTGGGCCAGTCACACTGGATGGTGTTCTCAAAGACTTTAAAATTTCTGAATATAAGGACATTGATGCTGCCTTCAAGAACATGAAGGCAAAAAGAAGAGCCTGATGAATTATACATATCTATTTGCTCCTGTTGCGTTGCACAATATGTTCTATCTGCAGTTCATTTTTTCTTTTTCACCATTTCTTTTTCATGTCAGTTTAAACGAAATCATCTAAATTTGTGTTAAAAGGATTGTTTGATTGCTTGTCATTTGAAAGTTGAATTGCTCATAAGAGATTTGGAATGAGTTGCTTCTTTGCAAAAATCAATTTTCCAAGTCAAAATACCTTTGAATTTAGACAGTGTTACGTCAGTTACCAACCATGCTACGTCAGTTACCAAATGTTTGCTTCATCTGTTACGCTTCTACTTGACAGATCAAGGTAAAACTGGCAGGGTGTGTACTTTGACATGTAATTGAAAAGCACACAATAAACTGAATCAAACAAATGACACACTTCACAGATTTTTTCACTTATAGCCCAAGTGTTGACATGTACATGTTTGTCCAAGTTACGTCAGTTACCAGTCTTATCCGCATGCTGTCAAATGGGGAAGTTGTGAATACAAATAAGATTATGGTATATAGGATGCCTTAAGTATCCTCTATCATGATGCATAAGTAGGAGTTCTTCTGCATCAAAACCCGGGCACAGTGAGAATTTATTTGCTGCAAATGTTACGTCTGTTACCCATGGAATTGCCCTTTGATAGATGTTTCCAAAGCTTTTAAACCTTCTTCTCGATTTATTGTTGTTGTCATGACAACATAGGTTGGTGGTGAAATGGGATTTATCTTAAAGAAGAGAACAGTTTACAATCATAAAGTGAAATTTTCAAAAGATTTTTTATCATTGTATGGTATTTAGGCCTGGCGCAGCTATTGTAAGATATAAGTACATTGCTGTGCACATTAGGGACAACAACAACAAACAAACAACAAACAACATTTGTATACCGGCCACTATTAATCCCCGCCAGGGGGGTTGACCGGTCCATGAATTTTTCTACGCCAAACGTCTCTATCTCTCGCCATATCTCTCGTTATACCCATTGCCTTCATATCACTGTTCACAGCATCCATCCATCTCTTTCTCGGTCTACCTCGTTTGCGGACTCCATCAACATTCATATGCAACGTTCTATGAATTTCAGGACTTTCTTCCCTCCTTTCCACATGCCCAAACCACCTCAAACGCTGGCGCCTTACCCAATTCTCGATACACTCAACACCAACTCTTTCTCTTATCTCTTCACTTCGAATCCTATCCATCAACGTTACACCACACATCATCCTAAGCATTCACATCATCCTGTGCACATTAGGGACATTTATAAATAATTAAATCTTGTTTTCGTGAATATCAAAATGTTCATCCTCATTGTGTTTATGTAGCAATATTGCAATTTGTTGCATTTCAATGAGAATGATCTGTCATATACAGTGGTGTGAACCAAAGCTTCATGCTATTCTTGGTTCTTAAGGTTCATTTTTCTTGACAACTCATTTATTGACAGTTGTCTTGTTGTACACAATGTTCAGTAGTATATATAACAATCATTCTACAATTGAAATCTTGACATAAACATATTTAAAAGTTAAAATGACATGATGAATATGAGGTATAGCTCTATTGGTTAAGAACAGTTCATGTACGACGTCACATGATGTTAATGTTGATTCATAATGGTTTCAAAAAAGCTTGGCTGACTGATAATTATGTTAATAAACACATAACCCTGGCTGTCACATGTTACAATCGTAAACAAAATCTCAGCAAACCTTTGGCATAAATATAAAGCAGTTTTAAAATTCAAAAGGAGTAAAGATCTTTTTGACTTTGAAAAATTTCAATAAACCTTCCACTCACTGTCTCAGAGAGATGAGAAATTGAGTGTGTGATAAGTAGAGTGTGGAAGGTTTATTGAAATTTTTATATTTCAAGGTGATTGTTGTAAAGGCTGTGTTTCATAAAGGCTATGTATCCATTTAAAATCTTGACGTTCTTATTATGATCTTGTAGCATTACCTTTGCTCTCTTTGGTATGGTTCATATGACATAATAAAATGTATTTACAACTAATATCGTAAATGGATTTATTATTGTTTCACAATAGTGAAGGTGAATGGGTTATCTACGCACTTGGAAATCTCAACACTTGCACAGTTTTGCGAAAGAAGCATTTACATTCTAATAAAAAAAGGCTTCCTTTAGTAAAGTAAAAAGCCGACAATTATGAACTTATGATTCATGAAAGCCTTCTTATATCCAAACTTAAACCATCTCTTAACACCCAAGGCAACTCAATCCCCCTTCACCTTCTTTAATATACCGCCATTCTCATTTCATTCCTTCATCTAAACTTCCTACTCACCTCACTTGTAATTTAACACCCTGCAATATATGCTTGTATTTAAAACCTCATGTATATAATTCATCTCAAATAATCTGAATATGTCTTAAGTTAAAGACGAAACGTAATTATTAAAAAACCTTTTGTCTTTTTTTATTTTATTATTGCGATGGCTTTTTTAAATGTCTTATGTTGGGCTATTATGTTCATATTGAAAAAGTAAAAAGCATTGTCGTTAAATAATAGAAATAAAAGTTATACGTATAAGAAAATTTTCGCAGTAAAAGCAAAAGCAGGGTGCAAATTCAGTAAATTTATGAATATTTTGCACAAACCTTGTAAGATCAAAGCACAGAAGGTATTGGTTCAACTTTTTCTTCGTTCGGTTCTGGTTCTTTCACGTTAACATTTCCAGGTTAAATTGGAAACATTGTAGTCATAAGATAATACAGCAATGTTCTTCTTCCTAATTTTCCGCTCTGTTTTGACTCCAATTCAGCGACTGTTAAAAGCAAGCTGGATACAATCAAAGGAAGAACCAAAAGTCTTAAAGCTCTCACCCAAATCTCACCAAGAAAAGACACGTACATTGCATATTCCTTAGGTGTTGGATCTATGGACGACTGAACATTGCCATGTAATAATGAACCAAGTAAAATCCACAAAGTACGCCGAATAAAATGAAAAATAATATCATATGTTGTTTTGCATGTTTTAATCCATTGTAGCAACGCTTTCTGAAGTCATTGTCGAAAATTTCAAGCTTTGAATACAATTCAAAGCAAATTCTCTCAACTCCCAATTTCACAATTCACAATAACAAAGACTATAGATATACCGCGCCATTGACTATAATTATGTAATAACCTGAAGAACTTGAGCAATTTCATTGGTCGAGAGCTATGATCTTTAAAGCCTTTTTTCCACTTTTGGCTTAACGCGAAAACGCGACAGCGATTAACTTTAAACGCGATAATCCCATATGGGAACGTGGTAATAATCGCAATAAACGGAGACTAACAACCGCGATATAATTTTGATATTTATTCGCGTTAATCGCCAAAATGACGTCATCTTAAATGAAAATTTTGGAATATAAAATGGCGGATTCAACATGTGTTCAATCACTTAACCCAGAAAGTTGGCCGAGAAAGTGCGTAAGATTCCCTGCTTATATGATAAAACATATAAGGATTATAAAGACAAGTTTGGCGTGGCAAATGCTTGGGCAAAAGTGGCAGAAAATCTGAATCTATTGAAACGTAAAACAATTTTCATTTGACTCTGAAGATGACTACCGCTAAGGTTGTCGAAACGTCAGTCAACAACAACAAAAACAGTCCTTCTCAAGACTATACCAACCTGGACGATCTACATTTACAAACATGTAACGATACTCCTGGGTTCAAACCATTTACTTTAATAATTGGTGAGCGAGCCAAAAAATTGTTTGAAAATTTAAAAAAAAGATTCAGCAAGCGAAGAAATGACTTTAAAAAAGTAAATAAATCTGGAACATCTCTGTCAGCTGTTGTTTCCTCTAAAACAAACTTGAAGGACTATAATTTTCTACAGTGGTTAGTACCACACATAAAGTCTGGAGCAACAAAAACTAATTTGTCAGTATCAAATACCGGCAGCGGCTCGACAAGTAACTGTAGTTTGTTAACCAATGATGAAATTGAGCATGTCAGCTTACTAAATGAAGACAATGGCTGTCAACGAATGGAGCCAGATGAAGTATTTGATGATAAGATTACTGATATATCTGATACAACTGGACATAAAAAGTGGTCAAAGACAAAAGTTGATGTTGAGCAAGAAGAAATACAGTTTCTTCATACAATGCAAAAGCAATTAAGCATCAAAACGAAAACGTGGCAAAAGATGAAAATGATTTATTTGGAATGCTTGTTGCCTCCCATTTGAAAAGTTAAATGCACATGAACAGGCCATTGCTAAGCATCAGATTCAAAATGTTGTTTTCAATATACAAATGAATCAAAACCCAACAACGAATTGTTCTCTTCAGAATCAGGTTTTATAGAGACTGCACCCACCAATGATGGAGAACCGCTGATTGTCTCAGCCATTTTGGGTTCTTTACACAAACCTGCAGAATATCTTCCTTTTGGTCACCTGCTGAACGACCATCACTTGTAATTGGACTTTTGATATAATCGCACTTCTTTAATTCCAAAATCAGTGCCATGGAAATATAACTCAGTATTTCATTCTTCTTCTTTCTTCAAACTCGATGATATATTTAATTGCTTCATCTTTGTTACTTGCATTAAAAATCTTTACTTCTTGATTAATTCTGTTCCCTGCATCATTAAAATGTGAAAAATTCTGCGTAAACCAATGGTTTAGGTAGTTTTCATTGTACGGAAAAAGAGGAAAGGCGTCATTCGTAAATATAGTACACTTAAAAAATTTCTTAATGTAGGTTCCAAGTAAAACTGTCATTGATTGATCATCAAGATGAGACAGAATAAGCGAGAGTGCAATTTCTCCTTCACTTTTCATGATCTCTTTTTTAACCAACTCATTCGACATGTAAAGCAAGCTCACATTATCGTACATATCAGTTCTAGCGAAAGGACTTAGCTCAAGTCTTTTTTGGAGCATAGAAATGATCGTTTGGTTGTATTGTGGTACAGCATTATTCTTTTGTGCATAAATGGTGTAGACGTCTCTCATTGATTTTGATAAACAAGGAGGCATTCATTGGTTGTATTGTGGTACAACATTATTCTTTTGTGGATAAATGGTGTAGACGTCTCTCATTATTGACTTTGACAAACAAGGAGGCATTCTAAAGAACATCATACATACTTATGAAAGGATGTTTTCTAACTTATGTTTATAAGATCATATCTTTATTTTATCATAGATACTCTTACAAAAATAACACAATTGAAAAATGAATAACATTAATTAGAAACATTTCAAATATTTAAAGCGAGGACGTCGATACGTTCACAATGGCTACATATGTAAACGTTTATTTGCATTAAAATTCCATCAAAGGTTATGTAGGAATCGCAATACGAAGGTTTCACGACATTAAATCTAGCGGAAAAGTATATATCTTTAGTGTTGTGCATATTTTAGTACAAACATGAAACTTCCGTTGTGGGAAACGTTATTTTGCGTAACTTTGCCTCATGTATTTGAAATTTTTGTTGAGATAGTTTTTCATCCAACGAATAAGTAACTTTGATCGTGACTTACGATAAACATTTCCACTATTGCAAAAACTTCGAAATATCAAACGGAAAATTTAAATCAAATGTAACATGCTCCAATGCACCACAGTTATGAGGAAGTGATGAAGCACCACTTGTGCTTTGTGGCTACATCATTTATAACCAAATACCAAAGAATGAATTAATTATTTTCAAAAAATTCAGAATGTATTAAAAAACAAGCTACAAG